TCACTGCAACATCTGCCTCCCGGGTTCAAGTGATTCTCCTGCCTCAGCCTCCTGAGTAGCTGGGATTACAGACACACACCATCACACCTGGCTAATATTTGTACTTTTAGTAGAGACGGGATTTCACCATATTGGCCAGGCTGATCTCAAACTCCTGACCTCAGGTGAATTCACCAACCTCTACCTCCCAAAGTATTAGAATCACAGACATAAGGCAGCACTCCAGGCAGAATAGTTATTTTTTAATAGTCTATATGTTTTTTATTTTTCTATCCCAGATTTTTTGCGTTAATTTTGTTGTTGCTTTTTGTTGGGGGGGCAGAGCAGATACAGGCCCTTGCTATGTCACCCAGGCTGAGCACAGAGCAATCACAGCTCCCTGCAACCTAGACTTTCTGAGATCAAGCAATCCTCTCACCTCAACCTCCTGAGTAACTGAGACTACAGGTGTGCACCACCACTCACAGTTAATTTTTATTTTATTTAAAAAAATTTTGGGTAGTGTCAAGTTCTCGCTATGGTGCCCAGGCTGCTTCACAAACTCCTGGGCTCAAGCAATACTCCCACCTCCGCCTTCTGAGTAGCTGGGACTGTAGGCATGCACCACCGCACCCAGCGACTAAATTCGGGCTTTTTTTTTTTTGTAGATACAATGTATTAGTCCGTCCTCACACTGCTAAGAAAGACATACCTGAGACTGGGTAATTTATAAAGGAAAGAGGTTTAATTGACTCACAGCTCAGCATGGCTAGGGAGGCCTCAGGAAACTTACAATCACGGCAGAAGGGGAAGGAAACACTTCCTTGTTCACACAGCGGCAGCAGGGAGAAATGCTGAGCAAAAGTGGGGGAAAGCCCCCTATAAAACCATCAGATCGTGTGAGAACTCACTATCATGAAAACAGCATGAGGGTAACCACACTCACGATTCAATTACCTCCCACCAGGTCCCTCCCACAACACATGGGGATTATTCTACAATTCAAGATGAGATTTGGGTAGGAACACAGCCAAACCTTATCAGATGGGGTTTCACCATGTTGCACAGGCTGGTCTCAAATTCCTGGGCTCAAATGATCCACCTTCCTTGGCCGCCCAAAGTGTTGGGATTACAGGCATGAGCCACCATGCCTGGCCTGATTCGTTTTAATATAGATTGCATTAACATGTTTTTTATCGTGATGTCTGAGGTTTTGGGTGCTCCCTTAAGTTGTGCACCTGAGGTGAGTGCCTCACTCCCCCTTACCCTAGTCCCAGCCCTGTTCTTGGGAAACTGGAGTGCAGGGAGGCCCTGCTTTTTCAGCCACAGCCACAGAGCTCCTGTGTTTTTCCCCAGGTCTCCGTGCAGTACGCCTCCAATGGCAAGTGGTACCACACCTGCGGAGGGTCCCTGATAGCCAACAACTGGGTCCTGACGGCTGCCCACTGCATCAAGTAACTGCCATTCCCTGGGCACTTGACCTGCTCACCAGCCGGTGCTCATTTCTGAGCTGGGGGCTTAAATGCCCTGAACCATGCTGCATAAAGCAGCCTTGAAAATAACCACTAGCCTGGCCGAGACACAAGCTATAGTCACTCAATGGTTCAGTGTGTTGGCCCATCAATGTCAGCACATGGCACAGATGGGGTGTCCTGTGCCAGGTACTGAGGGAGGATGAGGAGAAGGGGAAGGCCTAATCTCTGCCCTCTTGGGGAAACTACATGTGGCCTCTGGATCTGGAATTGGGTTCCCTTGAACAACTTGACTTCTCAAAGCTTCAATACCATCACTTGCAGAAAACAATGGAATAACAGAATTTAGTGTGAATTCAATGAGTTAATTTACTAAAGGGCCTGACACTTAGTAAGTGCCCAGTGAAAGCTAATTCTCAATTATAGACTAATTATAAAGACCCACGAGGTTCTGCAACGTTGTTCACTTATCCTCTTCGTTGTCCGTGACCTCTGCTCATCACAGCTGGAACTCACCAGAGGTTTTGCTGGGTTGTTGTGCCTCCCTACTAGGAGTAATCCCTTCTCCCATCTAATTTACAATAAGCTCTAGGAGGTGATGGGGAAACTAATAGAGACTTACAGTCAGGAGTCCTGGCTTCTGGTTCTGGTTTCCCACTAACGGTGGGACTCTGGGCCAGGTTACTCCTCTCTGCGACTCAGTTTCCCCATCTGAAAATGAAAGGTGGGAAAAATGTCCTTGAGAGCAAATGACTCCTGTTTTCTCTGTGTTCATCTAGTTCCCTCCGTAATCCTACAGAGTCTGTGTTATTACAACAGTTATTTTATATTATAGTTTAAAGTTAGTATAGCAACAATTATTATATGATCATAGTTCTTACGTTATATACTTTAGGCTGTATTATAACTAACTGATTGTCCCAGGGGAGGAAAGATCCCCAAGCCCAAGCCCCACCTAGTGGCTCACGCAGCAGCCAGTTACTTGGGTCTATCCCGACATTATCCAAAGCCAGGCCTCTGGAGGTGACCCTCTCCCTGGGCCCCCTTTCTCCCAGCTCCTCCAGGACCTACCGCGTGGTGCTGGGACGGCACAACCTCGACATTCCGGAGTCCGGCTCGCTGGCCGTCAGGGTCTCTAAGACTGTGGTGCACCAGGACTGGGACTCCAGCGATGTCTCCAAAGGGTTCGTTTCTGTCTGGGTGCACTTGGGGATGAGGTTGTCAGGGAACAGATGGGGGTCTCACAGAGGCAAGGGTCTCAACTCCACCACACGCCCTCTGCTTCTTCTTTAGGGAGGGAGAAGGAGCTCTGGCCTCTTAGATGTGGAACCAGCTCCAAAGATGTCTGGGGTGGGGATGTGAACTGGGGAGGGAGAAGCAAAGACTGCCAGAGTGACCTGGTTTGCTGCCAGTGAAGCCTGCAGGGCCCGTGTCCGCTGAGCGTGTATCTACTTCATGCCAAGTCCTGGGGACACAGGGACAGTGCTGTCGACCCTGTAACTATCCCTGGAGTAGGACACAAACTCTCCTGCCTTGCTCCTTTCAACAAGACCCTCTGCATTTTCAAAGATGCCCTGGGACCCTGCCACTCAGAGCAAGCTGGGGCAATGTACAGGGAACGATGACAAGGTCTCAGAGCCCTCCAAAGCCCCACAGGGCAGGAAAAGTCAACCCTGTCCTCATGCTCTGCCTCTGCACTGACCCAGGTACGACATTGCCCTGCTCAAACTGGCTCACCCCGTCTCCCTCACCAACAAGATCCAGCTGGCCTGCCTCCCTCCTGCTGGCACCATTCTACCCAACAACTACCCCTGCTACGTCACGGGCTGGGGATATCTGCATAGTAAGTGTGAGCCAGGAGCCCCCAGGCCTGGGAGGGAAGGGAGGTGATGTCACCCCTGTCTGGCCAGGGCCTGTTACCTGTCATCCCAGGATGTGTAGCTGCCTGGGAGAGAGGGGATGGCATAGGCTGATGCCTGCCTGGGTTCAAATGTCAGCTCTCCCACTTCCTAACTGTCACTCCTTGGGCATATTACTAGGTCTCTCCATGCAGCACTTTTATCATATGTAAAATGCAAATAATTGACTGGGCGCCGTGGCTCACGCCTGTAATCCCAGCACTTTGGGAGGCCTGGTGGGTGGATCACTTGAGGTCAGGAGACCAGCCTGACTGACATGGTGAAACCCCGTCTGTACTAAAAATATTTTTAAAATAGCAGGGTGTGGTGGTGTGCACCTG